TCACTATGACTTGCAGGCGACTCGACGGCTCATAACAACAACAACAACAACCACTGTCTGACATTTACTTGACAGACCATTTTCTAAAAATAATTGACATGTTATTCACTAATACTTTGACAGCTGATTCGTTTTTTTAAAATATTAGGTCTCTGGGTGGTTTTTTTTTTAATACTTGGGATGAACCTTTATTGTTTAGAATTCTGGAAACAGGTAAAGATTTATTACTGTCAAAGAAAAGGTAAAATATGAAAATATAATAAATATGTCTTTTTTAAAAAAGGCTTCAAGCAGGAATTCTAGAAGAAGTGTGTTTGTGTGGTTTTGAGTGAGAAGTGACACAAAGCTGACCCTGCAGCAGGTTTTCAGAGGCGGTAAATCTCTTGAGAGGAGGAGATCGCCCATCCTTCTCCCGTAAATAGATCGTCAGTGTTCTTGAACTCATTATAAAGTTTTAATTCTGTGCTATAAGGTTGGAATCAGTCAAATGGGTTTACAGAAGCTGTGAATCACACAGGAAGAGATTGCTCATTCTCCAACAGAGCAGCTGATGGGTTCAAACCATCTGCCTTTTGAGCTAGTGGCACTTCTTACCACTAAGCCACCAGAACTCCTTTTAGAGTAGAGTAAAAGAAACTGTAAAGTTTCTGTGTTATTACAGAAGTAAGCTTCAGCGCTTCAGCAATAACTAGCTTACGAGGTTGAGAATGTTATATTGAACTGGCAAATAGTTTAGATTCAGTGAAATAGTTTTAAATTAATCTTTTCCATTGTGCAACCTTGGGAATTTTCTTAACTCCTGGACCTGCTTCATCACGTATGAAGTGGAAATAAATTCATTTATTCAACAAGTAGTAAATTCATTAAACTTTTGCTCTATAGTAGATTTGCCGTATTTTAGAAAATGACTGCTTTCTGCCATAAGACTACCAAAGGGATTAAATTAGAATGTGCTGCTCAAAACAATTAGCATAGTATTTAGAATAGGTAAGTTTTAACTATTCTTAAAAGGTCCCAAATATGTATTGTCTAAGAGCAAAATTAAAAGAGCAGCTAGTAGCCTCAAACCACTTGCCTTTGAGATTACAGTACAGCTTCCTGCCAATTAACCACCAGAAGCAGGGAAATATTTAGAAATGCTCCTTCTTAAGAGCTTGATGGCGAGCTCTGGTGGCCTAGTGGCAGGAAACTGCGCTGCAATCCCAGAGGTGCACGGTTCAGGTCCACCAAATGCTCTGCTGAAGAAGGAGGAACAATCGCCTCCCGTACCAGTCAGATCCAATTTGACGGTGTACACACATACACAAAATAAATAAATAGCTAGCTTGAAAAGTATGATTTTAAACAGAATTTTAACAGTTTTCTTTTGTTGTTCAAGGAAATAGCCTATCCCATAGATTTTCCAAGACTGTAAATCTTTTTTTTAATATAATTTAGTTTGTTTATTTTTCATTTCAGTGAACATCTACAGAGATTTTGGAATTCCATTCATTCATTGTTGCACCCTTCTCCCTGCACAAACCCTTCCCCCACCGTTTGCTCCTCGCTCCTCTCCTTGAAAAGCAGAAGAAAAATCTTAATAGGAGTAGACAGTGTCATCTTTCTCCTGTGGAGAGGCGAGTGGTTTCACATCACAGCCCAGTACTTACTCCATCATACCAACAGTCCTAATGGCTGTCTAGGATCAACTATATTAAATTCTAAATTTAAGAAAATGTGTATTCCCTTATTCCATTCCTGCCTTTCTTTGTTTTGATCTTTCTTAAAACACAGGTCAGGTAAAATCCTCCTGTAAAAACACATACACATATCCTACATCTGGATAATTAGAAAATCCTATCAGCAAAGGAAAATGCAAATATTCCACTAATGGCAATAGAAAAGCAAAAGGATGAGCAGCCATCTAGGTGCCTCATCCAGAACAAAGAAGAGGGAAGAAAATCAAGACAAGTTGGTCCTAGGAACTGAAAATGTGAATCTTAACCTCCATGACACTGAAACCAGAAGAACTAGATGGTGCCTGGCTATGATGCTAACTTCTCTAAAGGGATCTCTGCAGAGGGTCCTGGACACATTGGGGAGGAATGTAGAACAAAACTCAAAATGATCAGCTTTGGTCTAATTGAGAGTATAGCCCTTAAATCTGCAACTAAACCACCCCTGTGTCTCACCTTCAGGCAACCAATAGTTAGGCCTATAAGGTGAACAGTAACATGGGAGAGGTAACTACTTGTTAGGACTGTACAGAAGAAAAGGGTCTTACTTGCTGAGGGTAGATTGCTATTGTGAATATTGTAATGAATAAAAGAAAGTTTGTCTATTACTGAGATACTGAGTGGACAGTTTGGTCTATGAACTTTGACTCAAATCACAAGAAAAAGATAATCACAAAAGAAATGGTAAGACTGTACCCTGTCAAAGGTAGAAAAATTTCACAACTTGGAAAATGACCTCTCACAGATTTCATGAACTGTGTATATGTATAACTTTTCCCCTTGAATTTTAATAAATAGTGATGGGGAGCAGACTGGTTTGCTTTTGACCAGTAATCTTTATAATATCAGTATAATACTTAGATCATTGATGTTCAGAATAATGAAATGAGGTTTTTTTCTGTTGAACTTAAAAGGACATGTAATAGATTCATTATTGTATGTTTACCTGAACACTTTCAATGGATAGGAACAAATTTCTTGTATAAAAATTGAGTCAACAGTAGCATCTTACTGTTCTATTAGTTTAATAAATGTGATTTTTAATGTATTTTATTGTAAACATTTTATTCTGACCATCATTATGCTTTATGGAATTTCATGTACACCCATGTGTTCCTAAGATCTCTTTAGAAATAATAATTACAGCTAACATCAACTGAGTGTTTACTGTTCTAAAGATAGTAAATATGTTGAGTTAACTGGCCCTTACAATAATTCTATGATGTGGGCACTATCAGGGAGATCTGGCATCCTAGTGGGTAAGGGTTTACACTGCCAACTTAAACGCAGGTGGTGAGAATCTACCACCTGCTTCATTGGAGAAAGATGGACATTCTTCTCCCTTGAATTTACAGTCCCTGAAAACCTGCTAGAGGGTCACCTATGAGTCGATTCTAACTCGATAGCAATGAGTTTTGAGTTTGAAGCATTATTTTCACATGGGGAAACTGAGGCACAGAAACATTAATTCATTTACCCAGAGTCATTTGCTAGTTAAGTATGACCGCCAAGATTGAGAATTTGGTTTTGATCTTAAATTGTTGTTTGTTATTGTGTCCTGTAGTGTCAGAAACAGCCTGTAGCTGATCCTCCAGCAGGCTTTCAGAGACAGTAAAATCCTAAATAGCGTCCATATTTGATTGCTCCCTCTCCTAGATTTTACAATCACATTAACAATTTGAGTAATATATGACTGTAGGGAACTCTGGTGGCCTGGCGGTAAGGAGTTACACTACCAACACAAAGGCAGGCAATTGGAATCCACCTGCCATGCTAGGGAAAGATGGGCATTCTGAAAACCCGGAGAATCAGCTATGTGCTGGTTCCAACACGACTGCATATAACAAATAGCAGAACATTTTTACCCATCCTTCACTATTTGCTGAACTCTTATTGATACTGCGTGATTGGAATGGGCTAGACCAGAAGATAACACCATTAAAAAATCTGAGAATATAGAACTACAGAGAGTGATCACAGTTTTGTTTTTTTTTTATTTTATTTTTGTGTGAGTGTACCATCAAATCAGATCTGACTGGTACAGGAGGAGATTGTCCCTCCTTTTCCCGGCAGAGCATCTGGTGGATTCGAACCGTGTGCCTCTGGGATTGTAGTTGCAGCTCCTTGCCACTAGGCCAACAGAGCTCCCCGAGAGTGATCACAGTTTTAAAATCTGTGTTAGACAACTGGATTCATGAATCATATTTTTAGTGGATCTTTCTTTTTTGGAACTAATTTGGTTTTGTTTAAAATAGTCTGAGTAGATTAATTCAATTATAGTGTGATTTTGTGATGGTTTAATAATGGGTTCAGCTAATATCACTAGACTGTTCACATAGGATTAATTCTGTCTTTCTCATCTTTTAGTAAAATAAAACAGGGTCTGCTACCTAGCTTGGAAGACTTGCTGTTCTATACAATTGCAGAAGGTCAAGAGAAAATACCTGTTCATAAATTTATTACAGTAAGTTTTTACATTTTTCTATCATAACTTTTTTTAAAAGTCAGTAATGCTAACTCAGTAATACTGAAATGTAGTCTTAAAGGTCATCTGGATATAGATTCTGACTGACCCTGTTTCTCTCATGTTTTCAAATTTTTATCATACTCATTTCAAGGTAATCTGTGAAAGAAAGTGAAAAACGAACGAAAACGAGAAACTTGTCCAGAAATTGGATAATAATGACACTAAAGTTGTCATATAAATAGTCAAGTCTTGAGTAGAAGTTTTTATATACAGGAATGAAAACTTATAGTTGGAATAAGCAGATACATTCTTTGCACTATATATTTACAAACTCTTATTTTTTCAAAAACAGGCACTCAAATCTACAGGATTGCGAACGTCTGATCCCAGGTTGAAAGAGTGTATGGATATGTTAAGATTAACTCTTCAAACAACATCAGATGGTGTCATGCTAGACAAAGATCTTTTTAAAAAGTAAAATTTTCTGCCAAACCTCTAATGATGATTTGCTATGCTATATGATGATTTTTATTTTTAAAACAAAAGTTTTGTCTTTAAAGGCCAGTGCTTCTCTGTAACTGAAAAAAAAAATTGGGTTTACAAATATTTGAGGAATTTGGTGCACATTAAAGTTGTGTAGCACGCTGAAGCTAAGAAAATACAGTCTAAACCTTTTCTAAGAAATGCAGCCACAGATGTTTCCATTTTACGGTACCTGGAGCTTACCCTTTGAATAGAGCTTACATTTTGTCCTGTCAAGCTTTTATTGATCCCTGATTCATCTGCATGCTTTGCAGGCTCTCAGCATGATCTCTAGTTCTTTCCATAAAATAAGAGGGCTTCAGACAGCAGTGTGATCCTCAGCTTTTCCTGTCTGCATGTTTCTGGATATACCAGTACATATGTTTTTGTCTATTTTTATTTTTCTCTAAGCATTTAAAAACTAAAGACAACTTTGGAGAACAGATTAATATCTTGTGTTAGTTGAATGAGAGCTATTTTGACATTCTTGTTGATTACTGGTCTTTGTTAAGGTGTTCATATTACTCTACCCAATTTGAATTATCCAGTGCTTGTAATAGTGAATTTAATCATGACAGATCATGTTGATTAGTACAGTATAGAGCAACATTCTGATCTGTTCACAGGGTCACTGAATCATAATTGAGTCCTAAGGCAACTAATAACAACAGTTCTTTAAATGGACATTATAGCTATATTAGATCCAAGAGTTATTAAGAACTTCTGGCTATATGGTTTTTGGGTCGCCTGGAAAGGTAATAGTATTTAAAACTATTAGTTAACATGTTGTCGCAAATGACGGCAAAAAAAAAGTGTTTCTAAGCACGGTCTTCAATTTAAAAGTGTGTGGCAGCGTGTTAAATGAAGAGCCCTGGTAGCGTAGTGTATAACTTGAGTTGGATGGTTAACTAAAAGGTTTGCAGTTTGAATAGACCAGGAGCTCTGCAGAAAAAACTGTGCAGTCTTTTTCCATAAAGATCTACAGCATTGGAAACCCGGTAGAGGGTCACTGAGTCTAAACAACAGTGCATTTGCTATTTAAACTATGCTATGAAACTAGTATAACTATAAGCACTACTGTAGTATAGTATCTCTTTAGGCCATAGGTTTGTTGAGGTAGACCCAAATAATTCCTGCATTGACCTTGAAAGTTCATGTGGGGTTTTTTTGGGTTGGTTTTTGGGGTTTTTTAAATTTTTGTTTTTTAGGGAAGCAAGGTTTGACGATTAGTTTAATATCTCCTAAAACTGTCCTGAGCTATTAGGCTCCTTCGATGCTTCCTGTAATGGCATTGAAACATTGTGTACAGTTTTGAATTCTTATCTTTCACTTGGTTCTTTTAACTCCATTTATTTAAAAATGTAGATTTCAAGTCTCTATTTGAATTGATATTAGGAAATTTTGTGTAGAAAAAGATATTTCTAAGTTTATCTGTACCTCTACTGTAGAATTTCTTTTTTTGTGGACAGTCTGATTATGGTATCTTTTGAAGAGTTATTTTAGTATATTCTTGAATGAAAGTTGCCAGATTGATGGTAGGTAGATAGATCTGCTTGTAAATAGGTATGGAAAATTGCTTTGCAATTAAGTAAGGGTAATATTTTAGACATTTTTTAGTACTGGCGTTTGTGTGCATGGTGCCATGTTTATGTTTGAGATTAAAAGTGATATTGTAAATATATTATTTACAAAGCCACGAAATGCATTCATAAGATTTCCTACATATAATTTTATTAAAATGTAACAATTACTGTCACTCTAAACTTTTTTTTCTCACTCTAAACACTTGTAAGAAAATTCCTTAATTGTAATACAGGCAGTTTCCAACTTAACAAATACTTAGTGGCATATATGTGTAGTTAGAACAATTTCTTTTTTGCCCCTAAAATGAGATAATTTAAAACTTCTATTAATCTTTTTTGATCACCTAAAAGATGATCATTTGTCAGGTGTTCTTGTTTTGTTTTTATATGTAAATATCTAGTGTCATTTAAAAAAAATTCACCTCTTTATAGGTGAGGAGGAAGGAAACATTGAAAAGTAAAATTTATTTTTCCAAACAATTTGTGAAGAAGAGAGATTTGGATAGTTGAATTAAAAAGTTAATACTGCAGTTTAAGATAGTTATGAGTTAATATACTTAGCCATATATATATATATATATATATATATAACATTTTTTAAATGGGAAAATTAGTTCTAAGCATTATTTTTTATTCTTAGAGCATAATCTATTTGAAAGTTGGAGACTGCATGTACCTATATATCTGTTTTTAATGCTAGAAAACATTTAAACAGTTTGAAGTAGAAAATTTGTGTGAAAATGCTTTATATAGTTATGTTTTTTAAAAAAATCTTTTAAGTATTTTACCTATCTTATTGTGATCATAATTTTAAATCTTTTTAGGAGCAGAAAGTTACATGCATTTTCATAGTTTGATTTTTCTAAGCAATTTAATACCCATGATCTTATTTTAGTAATGAAAAATATGTTTGAAGAAAATTTTATGAAACACTGAAATGCTTTAAAGTTGTTACTCAATGATAAGGAAAGTAAATCAGTCTTACTCTCAGTTTACAGATAAGAAACAAAGCTCATAGAAATTTCTAATCTGCAAAAAAAACAACCATTTTAGTGCCTCCTCAAAATTATAAAATTTTATGATTCTACTTAACTGATTAGATTCAAGGCATCTGTATTAAAATAATTCAAGAAACGATCAAAGTTTAGATCACTCATTATTATGTTGTTTAAACTTCTTTAGAGTTTCAAAGCTATTTTTATCATTCTACAGTAATTTCCAGGCAAGGCTGGGTTGCCACAAGCTTTACATCACTTTGTTGTAGAATCAAAAGAATTTTAAAATGTCACTGGTTGTACTGTATTGTTAATGATAAACTAATTTTTTTAAAGTGCTGACTAATAATAGATAGTTGTAACTGATAGGTTAATAATTAGGTTTGTTTGGCATTTCTCTGTTCTAACTTTGAAAATTATGAAATAGGCTTTTTTTTTTAAATAGGCTTCTTGCTATAGCAATAAATAATGAACTTAATATTTTTCTAGTCTTCATATTTTTCTTCTGACTATTGTGTTTTTGGGAACATGTTCGTTATAACTCCTAAAGTTTTGACAGTTATGTAAAACATTTTCTATTAAAGCAATGTAAAAATTTAGTATTTTTATATTAACTTAGGTGCATTATCAGCAAATTATGAAATTACAACTTATAGAAGTTAGGACTTTAATTTTTTCATTTTATGGTGGAAAACATCCTTATCACTGACTGTTACTATTTTCTTTCTTTTTTTCCTCCCCCAAAGAATTTTAAAAAACTAATGTGCTAATTTTATCTTGACTAATGAAATGCATTCTAATTTTAGCTAATATGTGGAATCTATTTTTAAATTTTAATTTCATGTTTCATTTAAAATTTGAATAATACTACTGAGATTTCTGAAATGAAATCAAATTACTGACCAAAAAAAAAAAATACTGGAAGTTCTTACTTGTTCATTTTTCCTATTTTGATTAGTGATAAGCTATTCATTCTCTGAGTTTCAATTTCTTATCTGAAAAGTGGAAAAACTGCTCATTCAAATGCTGCTACTTTGAGGGATAAATAAGAGGAATATTATTGTTGTTGTGTACTGTTGAGTAGCAACTGAACCACAGCTGACCCTCCAGTGCATTTTCAGAGACAGTTGATCGCAAGTGAGACGATTGCTCATCCTTTCCCCAAGGAGCAGCAGCTGCTGGCCACGAACGCTCATCCTTCAGTCCTTCTGGATGAAGCCCCACTTCTTGCCACTAGGCCACCGGACCTCCCTAAAAAAGAGAAATAGAATAGTACTTAGTGTAATGAGCTTCCAAAATGCCAGTTTATTTCCTTTTTCTCTTTTTCAGAGAAGCTGCTAATATAGCCCATCACTTGTGAGAACTCTAGTTACCATATATAAAAATTTTCTGTAGTTTATTGAAACATCAGATTTCAACTTTGAATGTTTTATTTTTGTCTAGTGGCTTAGCCTTGAGATTTATCTTATTTTATATCATAGCTTGATGATACTATGAATGTTCCTTTTCAATTAGGTATTCTGAATAGCTCTATTGAGACTCTTAAGGCACTTAGACTATATTACTGGCTTTAACCTTTAAAAAAAACCTCTTTAAGGTTATGTTAATTTTTATTTTGGTTTTCTGACATCTGTTTCTTAGAACAAAGCAGTAATGGTTCAAATGATTTCATGCCATATTTAGTTTTATTTACATTGTCCTATAAACTTGTTAGTAGTGGAACTTTTTTATCCTAGCATGTGTTGTATGACATTAAACTGAATAAACTAATGTAATAAAACATTTTTGATGATGCAAACAGTATAAAATTTATTATCCTCTATTATAATTTTATTGTCATTTTTCTTTTTAAAATTATTTGCATGCATTTTAACAAATAGCAATTTGAGGTAAATTCACAGTTCATTTTAGGGAGCTCTGATGGCTTAGTGGTAAGAAATTGCACTACTGAGGAAAAGGTACATGGTTTGAATCTACCAAGTGCTCCATGGATGGACAGTCTTCTTTGTGATTTGCTGCCTCTGAAAACCCACTGGGCAAAATCTATGAGTTAGTTCCAACTTGATGGTATACAACAAGAAGTATATCTTATATCTTTGTAACTTTGAAACATCAATTTTTCAGGAATAATATACTTATTATAAAATGTGAAATAAAGAATATAGGTAAAATGTTTGGGGGTGGGCTTTAGTGGGGTTTTTGTTGTTGTTGTTTTCCTTCAAATGCCAGAAATGTTATATAGGAACTTAGAAGGTTTCACAATCCAAAAAATAAACATGATTTTAACTGTGACATATTCAGTCTGATTTTTGCTACTTGGCATGCTGAATGCTTATCACACAGATAGTCTAAGAAACCTTTTTTAGATGGCTATAATACTTGGTGAAATGCCCTGTCATTTTAACCTTTGACCTTACGACTGCTATACATGTTTTTCTTCAACTTCTTCACCAGTTTACAAGCATCCACATGAAAGGCTGATGAGAAAATATACATGGAAAGAGTATTATTTATGAAATTTAGCTTGTTACTTAAAATTATAACTATTTATAGTCAAATGTTAATATTCTCCTAATTAATACTATTTCTTATTGTCCAAATACTAACATTTGGAGAATACCCAAGCTATTAATTTTTTTCTCACATTTCACAGGTGTGTTCAAAGCAACATTGTTTTATTGACTCAAGCCTTTAGAAGAAAGTTTGTCATTCCTGACTTTATGTCCTTTACCTCACACATTGATGAGTTATTTGAAAGTGCTAAAAAGCAGTCTGGAGGAAAGGTAACTTTATCAATGTGCACATCTTCTTAACCCAGTTATCTGATTTTAAGTTTAGCTGTAGGAACAAACCATTTTTCTTGTTTTGCTAATTTAAAAAATTTAAGTTAAATAAGGCCACTGAATTTAATGCTTTTTGCAATGTTTTTAATATTGTTTGGTGAAAGAAATATAATTAATTTTAAGATTTCTTATTTATCCAAATGGTTGCAATGACTTAAAATTTTAATTACTAAATGACTTTAAATATTTACAAAAAATTAATTACTAAAATTATTGGGAATCTCTACAGATCTAGTGAACTTGAACATTAATTGCAGTGTTTCTAGTTTTAATAAACCTTGAATGCTATTGAAAGCTCTGTCATTGATTTCAACATTTTATTTTCTTTGTGTTCTATTGTATAGCTTTGCATATGGCACTTAGCTTCAGTACAATACTATTTCAGTGTAAATATTTGTTGCTTATATTTAGATATTTCATTTCTAACTTTTTTCCACAGTGCAATGCTACCAGCACCCATAACCCTAATTTTAAAAGTTCTTTTCTCTCTTTTTTTTTTAAAATCAAGTTCAAACTCATGCTTTAGATTCTACTTTAGTAAAAAAGAATGCATTGAGAAAGATAAAATGATGATATAGGCTAGTGGAATTGACTTAGACCTCACCCCTTCCCCAATCCTGTATACTCTGACAGTTTTTGGTGCTGTAGAGAGTTGAGCTACTAACATTTACCTCTGGTCAGTTACCCCTAGCAAGCTCCTGTGCTGCTTATTGAATTGGAAGCTCAATGGAGGGTCAGCCAGCAGCTATGAGTTAGTTCTCATAGAACGGTCTCATTAGAACCATTCGTCTATAGTCTACTCATTGGCCTCATAGACTCAGCAGCTATGAATTTTAATTTCTTGGGGATTGTTTTTGCTTTACTTTTCTGAGAAGCATTGTTACAGAAATTAGGTCACCAGAGACATTGGTGGAACCATATTGAGATAAAAAAATTTATGGTAGAAGAATATATTATTTGCGAGTATTAGATCTGTTCTTTTCTTTCCTAATGTTTTGGATAGGTTGCAGATTATATTCCTCAGTTGGCCAAGTTCAGTCCTGATTTGTGGGGTGTATCAGTTTGTACAGTAGATGGACAGAGGTAAGTAAGTCCATAAAATGTAATTGTTCTTTCCCTCCTCTGTCCTAATGCAGTGTTCACAACTCTCTGAAAGGAATATATGATTAATTAGACATCTTATGTATGACAACAGTCTAGAACAAGGAGTGTATTGAGGGTTGGCTAGGGATGGAGGTGGGGGAAGAAAATGTGCAACAGTGAAAAAAATTCAATATCTTCAGTGTTAAAAAAAAGTACCCCAAAAGCACAATTGTAAGATTTAAATTTGCATGGTAATGTGCAACAATGAAAAAAAAAATAAATGATAGTAGTGAAATTCTTGTTTTCTCCCTCTAGCTTGTTTAGTTTAATTCTGATGGGATGGTAAAACTGACCAGTTCTCATTGGTCAAATAAGCTATGCATCAGCTTTCTGCGTACCATATTTGTAAGAAATGCAGCCTTCAGTATGGGTTGCATCTCAATATCAAGAAAACAAAGATTCTTACTGCTGGACCAATAGGCAGTATCATGATGGATGAAGAGGATATTGAAACTGTCAACAGCTTCTTCATCTTGCTTGGATCCACAGTTAACACCCTTGGTTCGAGCAGTGAGGAAATAGGAGATGGACTACACTGGGAAAATTTGTAGTTATAGGGACCTTTCCAAATTATTGAGGAGTAATGATGTCAGTTTGAAGTGCATCTGATTCAGACCATAGTCTGTTGTGATAGCTCATAGACCACACAGAATCAGAGAAGTCAAAAGGCTATAATTTACATTGGTAGCATATACAATCTCTCAGTCAGGACAGCTTCTGCAAATGGGCTGACAGGCACCTCAGCGTTAAGCTTCATTGCTTTAGGCCAGTGTTAGAAAGCTCTTAGTCCTGCCAATCTTGGGCAATAAGCTCTTAGCTTTGGTTCTATGGGGTAGCAGTCTCAAGGTCAGCTCTTTCTCATGTCGGATCTCTGGTTCTCTGCTTTGGCTGTTGCTGCTCTCCTATAGGTCTGCAAGGTCTGGCTGCTGTCCCCAAGGGGCGGACTGCATTCTGTTCTTTGCTGGTGGTGAGATTCTCAAAATCTGCCTTTGAGCCATCTCAGTTTAGTGGCGAAACTAGCCAGTCCCCTTGTGGATAGACTAACATACCCTATTCACATATTCCTGCCCATCCACATGGCAAAGTCAAAGTCAGTGGCTAGGAAAACCCAATAAACCCGTAACACCACATAGTCTTATTAATTATATAGCTTTGATAGAAAAAGTGTTACTATATATATGCATATATATGTCTTACAAAATAAGCATTTATTCTATAATAAACTTAGACACGGGGATGCTATAAGTTCCAGTAACTAATAAGCCTTTCGCTTTGGATATTTATTAATTGTGCTCAGTTACATTTTTAAGTGTGTTGGAGTTCGTCATTAAATGTGGATGATGGCCCATTAAGTGTATGTAATAGTAAGTTAAAAGTGATCAACAGGTCTTTAAAAAATCAATAGAACTGTGTGTTCAGTTTTGTTTATCATATTAAGCTATATGTTATCACTTAAATGTGTATATTTTTATTTTCCATATATGCTACAGTTAGAGACCTGACTGGAATAAAACACTTAATAACTTATAGTAATGTATTCTTATGAGGAAACCTTTTGGCAAAAGCATTTTTATGATCTCTTCAACTCTTATTGCGCCTCTATAATTGTTCAGACATTAAAGCACAAGGTGTGCATACAGAGTGAACAAAACAAAGGTCCCTTAAACTGATGGAGATTAAAATGGAGTTGGTCAGAATGTTTTCATTCCCAAACCTATTCTCTACTTAATATACTTCCAAGTTTGGTAGGAGATAAAGGTGAGACATGCATAGGCAGGCTCTTTGATAATATTGAATCTAAATGGAATGCACTAATCATAGTTTAGCCATACATTAAAGATTTGAAGTGGAATTTTTTTAAAAAAAACTTTCTAAAAGTCTAATTTCTTTTGCATGGTTGACAATGAAGGCAAGTGTTACCCTCGTGCTCTGATAGAATTTTTTTATTGCTAGAATAATTTTTAAGCTTTTGTCTTTTTATTTTCCATGTTTTATCCCTCTTACAATGAAAGTACTTCATATATTTACTATTACTGATAACAACTTTTGTGGATGAATTTTGAGAAAAGACATGTCTTAGGAAAAGTGCAGCCAGAGTTTCCCATGGAGGCATAGATGTGGAGGCTTCGTCTCTCTCCTACTTTGGGCATGTTACTAGGAGAGGCTATTCCTTGGAAAAGGGACATGATGCTTGGAAACGTGGAGGGCATGATTGGGATAGTGTACCATAAGATAAGGTTCAGGTCTGTTCTTAGGGTCACTGTGAATCTTACTCAGCTAGATTGCACTTAACAGCAACATCATGCAAATTAACATGTAAAACTCACTCTAGTTACACTGTTACATTTTTTCCAGGTAATATGGTTTTTGTACTTATTGTGTGATGTTAATTGTTTTATATCTGCTTTTTAAATAGGCATTCTATTGGAGATACTAAAGTTCCCTTTTGTCTTCAGTCCTGTGTAAAACCTTTAAAATATGCCATTGCTGTTAATGATCTTGGAACAGAATATGTACATCGATATGTTGGAAAAGAGCCAAGTGGATTAAGATTCAACAAACTATTTTTAAATGAAGATGGTAAGAATTATATAAAAGTTGGCTGTGAAAAATTTATTATGGAAATCTGTTTTTCCTTTGAAGAAAATTCAAAACTTTCCATAAGTTTGTTCATATTTATTGGGTTTCACAGAAGTCATAAAGAAAATTTTTTTAAAGAAATCTGGTAAATATTTTAAGTCTAAACACTAAAGAAAAATTAGTTAAACTTTATTCATGTAGGCTGGTTTTTGGTTTGTTTTATAGTTCTTTCAAGCATCAGTTTGATTTTGAGTTGTAATCATTTAAAATTTAAGAAAATGAACATGAAAGAATTTAGTAGTTTTAATTATAATTGTGAGGAAAGACCTTTTTATATTTTCTTTTTTACCTCCATTTTAAACATATTCTTTATAATCATTATTTTTTTCAAGTTGTGAGACTGATATTTTCATATGCTTTTCTTTCTATTATTTTGGCAACAGTTATATTTTATTACCTACTCTCTAGTGATCTTTCTATGCTGATGCCAAATTGGATTTTACAAAGATTATCGTAAACTAACAACATCCAAAAGAGTATAAAATACAAAACCACCCTATGAAATCTTATTGGTACCCAGATTTAATATGGTAAGATCAGTATTTTTATTTTGAAAGAAGATATAACAATGATTACATTATCAAACAGGAAAAACAAAATTTTGCTGAAGACAATTCAGAATAGGTGCTATCAATTTAGTGCAGCTCAGCAAAGCATTGCCAGCTCCTGCCCCGTCCTTACTGTCTCTGTTGTCATTAAGCCTGTTGTTACTGCTGTTTGTACATCATTTTTTTAAGGTCTTCCTCTTTTTCAGTGACCTTCTACCAGGCATGGTGTCTTTTGGTAGGGACTAATCCCTCCTGATCATGTGGCCAAAATCTCTGTAACTTTGCTATTTTTTTAAAAAAATTTTTATTTTATTATTTGTGTGTGTGTGTGTCTATGTGTGTCTGTGTCTGTCTGTACCGTCAAATCAGATCTGACTGGTACAGGAGGAGATTGTCCCTCCTTCCCCGGCAGAGCATCTGGTGGATTCATGTAACTTTGCTATTAAGGAGCATTCTGGCTACACTTTATTCTTGTTTGGTCTTTTAGTAGTTAATACTGTATTCAGTATTTGTTGTCAACACCACAATTTAAAATGCATTTTCTTCCATCTTCCTTATACCATAAGTATGTGAAAAACTTTATTGTTTTAAGGAAAAGAAGGACTTGTTAAAAAGTTTCTGGTTTGTATATTCTAATTAAAAACCTACTTAAGAATTTCAGATATCCGTTTTGTTAGTGTACCAAGATAATATCTATGTAATTATTTCAGATGATAGCTTATATTACCTGTACATACATAAAATTCCAAGTTGAAGACCTTACAGCTATTCCTTGTAACTCACAGCAGAGACAGGAAACCAGTAGATCTCAGTTATAAATGTAGTTAGACAAACTCTATACTATACTAAGGATGATGTTAAGTAACTCTGGCCTATTTTGAAAAGTATTCCAGTTTCTGATTTTCGGACAGGTAGTATGATCAATTGCTTATATCTGAAAATTGCGTTGTCATGCCATGAAATGGGTCAAAACTTTATAGGGTCTTTGAAAGATCTTTTAGAATACAGCTTATACAATATTTGCAAAATATTTATGATTTTACATAAATGGAATCTTACTGGATTTCCTCTTTTGTGACTGATTTAGCATAAATTTTTTTACAGTTCATACACACTTCACTATATATCAGCATGTTTTTCCTTTTTATTGCAGATGCTATTTTTGTTAATTTTGACATTTTGCTTATTCATTCTTCAGTTGTTGGCCTTTTACATTTTTGTTTTGGGCCTGTTGGAATTAATTCTACTAGAATGTTGTAGATTTTTTGGTGAACATACACTTTCCTTTCTCTTGGATAGATACTTAGGAGCAGAGTTACAGAGTCATATGATAAACATTTTGAGGAATTTCCAAATTCTTCTGTTTCAGGGTTTATCCTATAGTGTTAGCTCACAGAGTATAACTTTGTTATACTTTAAGGAGACTAATGACATTATTCTTGGAAAGGTGGAGGACCAGAGGAAGCCTCTCAACAGGATGGATTGTCATTGACTGCAGTGATGGGTTTATGAGGCCCAGAGATTGTGAGGATGGCGGAGAGCCCTTAACTGTTGATGGGGTGGCTGGGAGTCAGAGTCCAGTCTGGCATTTAACAACAGCAACAACCAGTGATGTATGTAGGGGGTTGTACTGCTAAATGAAAGTAAATAAGTAAATGCCTCTGACATTGGAATCCCTCACTGGCACCAGGGAAGGAGGATGGACCATCTCTTCCAGTGCCATTCAGAGCTTCTGAAAACCTGGTGGAGGGGATCAGGAGTTGATGCCATCTTGACAGCAGTGGGTTTAAGTTTGATATCTTTTTAATGTTTTGGCAATAACTTTGTGCTCTGCTAAATTTGTCAAATTAGATAAGAACTTATTCCCAAGGAAATGATTAACTATAGCAAATCGATTAGAAAGTATGATTGCAAATAACTATTTCAGTGCCCTAAGAGTTTTGTGTTTGGTGTTTATTTCAGTGCAGTGAATGAGAATGCAAGCAGTTGTAATTTGAAATTCCATTTATTTTAAAAACTAGGTGAGCAGGTAGGATTTTTGTTGAACTTCAGATATTAAGTATTTTTTTTTTAGTGTAAATAATACATCCTTATTGTAATACAGAAGGCATCACCAATATAACTAAATCTTCTGTGTTCACAGTATCCGGTTAGTATCACTTGTTAGTGTTTGTATGTTTTCTTTATGTGTATACATACACAGAAAACAAAAGAAAAAACTAGATTTACATTATATATATTTTATACACGGTTATTATTTCAATATTCAGTGCTTAGTTATAGGCTAGTTACTTTCTGAGTACTTCCTCTGTTCAAGTCATTAAATCATTATTATGCAATAAAGTGTAGGAACATTTATTTCCCCTCTTTTACTCATAGGAAAATGGGAAATTGAGGTATATTGAAATTCAGTTCTTTGCCCAAGGGCAAAGTAGACGTATGACATTTTTATGTTCTCTTATAATATTTATTAGTATCTCTGTGTATGGCTCGTTTGTCTATATGATTTATTAGAGCAACATCCTAGAAGTGAATTACTAATTTGATATTAAAACTGATTTAAGCCACATCTCAAAAATCTCTTTAAGGCTGTCACATTAAAAAGAAAATATTTATTGAAGTACTTTAAGTTTTGGTGCTGACAAAGAGTGTTGAACAAATTGTGGACTGCCAGGAGAACCAATAGGTCAGTCCTGGTAAGGATGAAACCAGGCTGGCTACTCCTTGGAGGCTAGGATTTTGAAACGCATCTCACATACTTTGGACATGTTGCCAGAAGGGACAAGTCCTTGGAGGAGGACGTTTTGCTTGCAAGGGTGGAGGGACAGCGCAGGAGGAAGACCCAGAATGAGATGGATTGACTCAGTGACTGGAGAAATGGGATTAAATCTGTCTGAGACAATGAGATTGGCTCATGACAGGGGAGGATTCAGAGCTAATGTACATAGGATCGTTATGAGTCACAGGCGACGGGATGGCACATAAGAAGAATAAAATATATATTGTATAAGAGGGAACTCTGATGACGTGTATTCAAATTTATTACCTAGTCCACGGGAGAAAGATGAGCAGTCTCTTCCCATTTGACTTACTGCCTCTGAAAAGTGGCTGGAGGGTCTTTTGGTTCCAACTCAATAGAACCTAACAATACTACACAAATTAAAAGGCAGCTCTGATTTTCTAGCGAAGTTGCGCTGCCAACTCAGGTGAGTGGCTTGAATCCATCAGCTCTGTAGGAGAAAGATGGGTGTCTCCTCCCACATAATTTCTAGCTTCTGAAAACCCACTGGAGGGTCTGGTTTATAAGTCAGTTCAAACTCAATGACAATGAGAGAGAGCTTGTGGCATAGTCTAGGAAATTGCGCTGCTGGTCTATAGACTGCTAGTTTGAATCTACCTGCAGCAGCCCCAAGGGTGGAAACTATTCAGTCTTCTCTCATGTAATTACAGCTTTGGGAACCTAGTAGAGGATTAACTATTAATTGATTCTGACTCTATAGCAGTGAGTTTGAGTTTATATACTGAAGAAATGATAATGTTTTGAAATAATGGTACTACTTTTGTATTTTTCAGATAAGCCACACAATCCCATGGTAAATGCTGGAGCAATTGTTGTGACTTCATTAATCAAGGTAAAAATGTTGACAACTTTTAATTTAGCAAAAGTTTTAAAGAATTATGTCATAAACATAAGTTGAATGATTTCTATGGAACCACAGAAAGTTTTCTCTTGGTCTTAAGAATGTGTACAGTTGGGATTCTTTTTTATTTAAAGATAAAACAGTAATTTCAAGGGAAAAATTAAAAACATAGTTATAGATTCAAACAGTTAATTATTCTTGAATTGAAAATCTGGCAGAAATTAAAAAAGCAGTTTCAGCTGAATAATAAGCAAAGGAGCTTTTCTTAAGGTTGGAATATTTCTTTTTCCTTTATCTTCCTTTTGATTCTTCTAGAGAGAACAAATGTAAACAATTAAATAGACTTAACTGTAGTTCATTGTCATCAGCATGTGGGAACAAATGTTCTGGTACTTTGTTTAACACAAAGTATATTTACTTGTCAGTGTTCTCAGGTCTTTTTTCTCTCATGAGCTGTAGTCAACAATTTTCATTTTGAACTTGTTTCTTTGTCTTTTACTTAAACCATGCATAACTAAACCAGATAAGGCCTACTCTAATTATTGTTATTTCCCTTATGCTTTTAAGTTTTTTAGTGTGATTTTTTTTTGCCTTAATAATTGGACATTTTAATGTTTTGAACCAAGCATTTGAAAACTATTTTATGCAAGATACTTGTTTTTAATTTCTAACTATAACTTTCATTCATATGTAAATAAGTATAATTTGTGTTTAAAATGTTCTTTTGATTTGTCCGGTAAATCTCCATCTATTCCAAGTTAAACCATAATTACCTGGTTTTGTAGATAACATTTCTGAGGATTAAGTATTGTGCTACACAGACTACAGATTACATTCTTGGTCCAAGTCACAGAAATCCATTTCATTTATATACTAGAAAGTCTCTTTAAACTTTTTGAATTTTACTATTAATGAGAAAACCTTACAAGATTGAAGACTATTATTTTAATATATGCATGCATACATATCACACACTTTTAATTGTTATTTTGGGAACAAATGCTTTATAATCTCTAGTCTACTTAATGTTAAAGTTCCAAGGATATATGTGTAGCCAAATTTTTTGCATGTAACTAAAAGAGGAGAATTTTCTGCTTGATGTGAAAGAAACTTTATAATAGAAATCTTTTTTATTGTAGAAAATTATAATATGAATATGTACACTCCACCTTCAAGTACCTTACATATATTTGTGAGATATACATGAGAAAGACTTAGAATGAGATTAGTAAATAGTCACCTAGATAAAAGTATCAGTAGCTGTTTAGATTTGAAAAGTATCAAATTAGAGAGATGGAGAATTATGATACATGTGTTAATACCTGACCAGTAGAGTAGTTCTGAGTGCATGTCTTGGGGTCTTCCAGAAAAATGTTCACATCCAGTAATTTTACATACTTTATGAGATTTACAAGATCTTTGAAGCAGATCTGTGGACACCAGTTTAAGAACTTTTACACTGGAGAAAATGAACATGGTACGCCAGTAGATTCTTAGGAAAGGGCATATGTAAATGATTAACTTAGGGCTTCCTTAAATGCAAGCAGTTAAAATTCTTTTGTTTAATGATTCATAGGTGGAATACATTGCCCTGTATATTGCATATGGGAATTGCATGTCCACTCATATCACAGCATCATTTCATTTAGTTTTACTTTCCATAGTCCGTGTTATAAATTGCCAAATTGAATCACACTAATATGAACATTTAGAAGTAATTTTTTTAAAAAAAACAACCAATAAATGAACAGTGGAAGTATGATTCAGTGTGAAGCAGTGTAGAAATTTAGCAGAGTGCTTTTATTTTTACAAATGTAATAAAATTCAGACAAATTTAAAGGCATCCTTGTGGTGCACTTGGTTAAGCGCTTGGCTACAAACCTAAAAGTTGACAGTTCGAATTGGCTATGTTGGAAATAAGATTTTGAGGTATCATTCATATTTAAGATTACTGCTTTAAATTTTTATTTTTCATATATATATTACAAGGGTTTTATTTATTTCGAAATTAAGTTCATATCAAATCTTGTATGGACAAATTGATAAAAATTTTTATAAAACTGACTGCCCTAGAATATAATACTTTTCTTAAGATTTTTAAAAGAAAAAGATATAAATATTTAAAATATCTCTGTGATCTCTGCAAGTTGTGCATTCATATAGTGTTTATGAATTAGTGATTTTTTAAAAAATTTAAGTTATAAAACTATAACTGGAAGGACTTCCTGAAATTGTCGAGACCAACCCTTTTATTTTTATGTGTTCAATGAAACTGAAACCCAAAAGTTTGTTAACAGTAGAATTGGATCTTAAACTAAATCTCTCCTGATTCAGGTTTCTATTTGGTATTTATCAGACTTCAGTCTGCAATATTTAGTGTAAAAGATATGTGCTGTTTCTTCTGGTGACATCTCTAGCTTAGTTTAGTTAAATTTTCTGAAAAAGCAGAAATGTTGCTTTCTTAATTTTTATGAAAGAAAGCATTTTATTAACTTAAAACTTTAGATCTATTTTTCAGTGAGTTTATGTAGCTAATTTTTGAATGTTAGTCAGGGATCAGAATTTCCCAGTGAGCTTGTATTTGAATACTAAAGCATGACTTTGACCATGACTACTAGATGTGAAGGAGTCCTCATGGTGCAGTGATTACACATTCTCTTTCTAATTGAAGGTTGCAGTCTGAATATACCAGCCACTCTCCACGAGAGAAAGATAGGGCCATTTGCTTCAGCCACAGAGACTGTGTGGGGCAGTTCTAGTCTGTAACAGGGTCACTATGAGTCAGAATCTATTGGACACCTTTCAGTACTAGATGTGAATTCTGTTTTTTAGCTCTTCTAAAAATAGCCTTAATAAGTGTAAGTCTGTTGGTAATATTTTTACTTTCAAATTCAGGACTTTATTAGGATGCCATTAATGAACATATTCTCCTCTTGTTATTTTACACCCCCAGGGGAAAAAATTAAGCAGAGTCTTTAGGAAGACTCTTTATTTCATAATTTTGTAGTATTGATATTTTTTCCTTGTAGGATTGGTGGTGATCCTCAGGGGGAAGAGGCAAAGCAAATGTTCAGAGGATTAGCAGATTGTGGAAAAAAGGAGGATTTGGACAGAAGGAACCTGTTGCATAAATTCTTAACTACTAAACTTATAGAAAAACTCCATATTTAAAATTTTTACCAAAGCTATATAGGTAAATACCTTTTTAAAAACAAATGTCATTTTATACTTAAAATGCACATAATTTTTTGAAGAAAAACATAAGGGTACTTATGCTTGCTTTTTTTTTTTTTTAATCTGGTAGCTCCTAACTTTAAAGAAATAACTTCTTGATGCAGTTTATTTTCCTATTGTTGCTTGATTTAAAGAAGTGAAACAAATTTGAAAGGAGCATCGTTTTTCTGAATAAGTTACTATAATTTTGCTTTATTTGCTCTTCAGTAAAAATTTCAGCTGGTTTCAGTTTGTTTAACAGTTAAGCTCTAGAGATAACTTGAGTGGGGAAATTGAAGACAACATACTGAAAGAGAACTGCTACCGTGCTTTTGTTTTTAAAAAAGAGAGAAAAAATAAGTTGTAATGTCTTCTGTATTTATGTCAGTTTTTATTCCAGTTGTAGTTGACGCATTTTGTCGTTTGAAGAAGCTTGATCTTTTTCATTGAAAATATTTTTAAAATTTTGGAGTTTAAAACTGAAGTTGTCTCTCTCATTCCTCTAACGATTTAATGTTGCTCCATGAAAGTCAAGATGAGTTTAATTATATAATAGTGAAGTTCACAATATTAACAGTAACCTATTCAGACTAGCTAGTATAAACATTCGTAAGGTGGTTCCCTATTGAGAATAGTGGTTTATTTACTTTCATGTTTATACTGTTTGGTATAATTTGAAGCTTTCATTTTGTTTTGATTTTAGAAAGAACAGATAATTTATTACCAAGAGAATTTTTCTTTTGCTTTATTATTGGCATTAATCATTCAAATCCTAGAATTTTTTTTTAATTTGCAGTGTTTAATGAGGCGTTTTGGGGAGATGGATTAAATATTCTGTACGAATACTACTAGAATGTTCTAGAAGATCATTTTTACTGAGCTCTTTTGCCACTTTTAGTATCTATAATAAATAATTTGAGAAAACTTTTACTAATGGAATTGATTACATATTTACAAAATAACAAAAAATAGCCATTTTAATAGTAATTGGTAGATTAATTGGTGTTTTTGTAAGTTTTATTATATGTATGTAGTACATGAGTCAGTTCATTAGTATGTTGTAAAAACCAAACATAAAAACACATTTAACAGTTACATTGGTTATTTTAATAGCCAGTGTTAAAAGTCAGTGGCTCTATAAAAGATTTACATTTATGAAGGTTTTTTTCCAAAAGAATTTAAATTTTATAGCATGAATAGGATATTTATAGGAAAATAACTATTATTTCTGTGCTGTAGTCTGATTACCCTTTTCAAACAAGCCAAGTAATTAAGGTTGTTATAGTCATTTTGATGACTTGATTATAAATGTTTGAAAGTACATTTCCAGCTTAATGTCTTAATAAAACTTTGCTGCTTTATTTTCCATAAATTACTGTTTAAAAGGAAAAGCAGTATAGTATCTAGTGATGCTAATGCAGATCTTCAACTTGGTAGGTATATTCTTTGGAAACATCACTTCTTTCCAAGGAGTGAAAGGAAACTTGATAGTTGTCTCAGTTTCCTGTATATATTCGTTCTTATAATTGATTTTCAGGTTTCCTTCCATCACCTGTAACAATGGGTGCTTTTCAGGTGTCCTGAATTTTTATGTGGTAGTAAAAAAACTTGTGAGCATTAACAAAAGAAAACTTTGGGACATTTTAGAGTCAAAACATTTTGAAATTTTAAAGTCAGTGTTGAGGATTTGAATGATTGTAATAATGACTGAATAGAAATTCCTTTCATATGCCATTTCCTTGGCTTCAACACAAATGAAACTGAATTGTCAGTTAATGAGAACTTTTAAGTATAATTTTTTAAGAACACGACCTGTGATTTGAGCTTGTAATGCCAAAGACATTAAGGAACTGGGATTGGCATTGCCGATCTTTTTTATCCTCAGTGGGAAAGGGAATTTTGGTGGCCTAGTGGATAAGAACTTGTGCGGCCAAACCAGAGGCAGGCAGTTCAAATCCATTAGCTGCTTAGTAGGAGAAAGATGACCAGTTTCCTTCAGTGCACTTCTTAGCCTCTGAAAACCCACTAGAGGGTCAGCTATGAGCCAATTCTTACTCAACTGTCACATAACGAGTAAAGTATCACTTGTATACATCTGTAAAATTGAAAAATGAGAAGAGAAACTTATCCACTGATATTTGAGCTCATTAAAAATCACAGTTTGAAAGTAAATAGTGTAAAAGAACATTTTTCTAACCTAGTACGATAAACTTTTGTCTTTTAACTTTTTTTTTTTAGAAAGTATTTTAAATGTAACTGTCTTAGGCTAAATTCTCTGCAGGGACATAACTAGTGGAGGGTATGTGTTTATATTAATCAGTCAAAAGTAATTTGTTGAAAGGGTTGAAGAACCCCACATCAGGAAGTCAGACAGTGGTTTGGTTCATGGGAGTGTGGGAACTAATGACAGCAGGCTGCTGGCATATCCTAAGAACTAGAGGTCAGAGGATGAAAAGATAGGTGCATGTTCTAGACAGAGCTACCTTTCTGCCGAAACATTTATATATTTTGGATGCAGATCACATATCCAAGAAACTTACTTACTTTGAATCTAAAAGGCTCCTCACATGTATAACAAAATGGAGGATGATTATATCGTGTATGGAAGCAGCTGCCAAACCATTGAAGCCTATAACCCATTCAAGCTGTCACATACATACAGGTGAAATAAAAATATAGTTTGGCCAGCTTTTATGTATCTGCTGCCAGCTTCTGTTTTCCGGACATCTCTTTCTCTACCCTTTCTTTGTATTTCCCTGCTCACTCAATGATGATTTCACAGTTGATTTTTTTTTTTTTTTTTAGTGAAAGGAGAATATCTCTTTGTAGTATACTAAGTCTTTCCAGAGAAGTACAGGGACTCTTTAATAAATTCTTAATTAATTTAAGTTAAATGCCATTTCCAGGATACATAGTAAGAATAAACATTAATAAAATGCCATCATATTTAAACAGTAATTTTAATACAATAATTTCTTTTTCTCTACTTCCATAATCTGCCTGGGGCTTTTAAAGATGTTTACCCAAAATGTTAAATAGTGGCAAGCAGTGGTAAATATCATTAGTTTCTTAAAAACAAAATGGAAGCAAAATTTAATTCTGCTCTCATTTTATAAGTGAAAAAATATAGCAAGGATATGACTATATCCTAGAGTTGAAAAAGCTTTTGTTTTTTTGTGTATAGACATGACAGCTAAATAAGGAAAATTAGTGTTAGTTTTACATGGTGCAATATAGATCAGTGAATAAAGGCTTAATTTGCTTATTTTATACTGACTTAACTGAAAAACCACTAATTATCCATGTGGTATCCCAATGCAAATGCTGACATCTTTTTCCAAAAGCAATGGATTCCCCTCCCCCTCCCGCCCCCGTGCTTCTTCAAAGGTTTTTCAAAGGTTTTTGTGGTTTAAATGTTGTTACATATTTTACAGCATTAGGATCTATGGAATATTTTGACAACTGCAACAGTTCAATGAAGTTGGTAATTTCTTCTTTTAATTATTTTTCATTGAACAGCTTTGGAGTTAAAATTTCTACCTTTTTGGTGTATTATAAGGAAAGACAATTACAACATGTCAAAGGATACTTTAAGAGAAATAGATGATTACAATATGGCTAAAACTAATTTAACTTTATATTGCTTAAGCTTTGTTTAATGCCTGATTTTGAAGAAATACTGTGTTCATTACAGTTATGGATCGTACGTATATAACTATACTTTCTTCAGTGAATTGATGTGTAGAAATCATCCACAGTGTGTTAAGTCGAAGGCGAACCTGATTTTATGCAATTAAATAATAGGCTAATACAGGTTCCCGTTCCCTACCACAGTAGTAAAAACCTAAACTGTAATGTTACAGATATTTTGAGAGTAAAGTTTAAAAAGGACATTTTAAAAACTTTATTAGCCAAATTATTTTAAAATCTGTTTTTAAAATTAGAGATGTATTGTTTCTGTTGGGTGCATATCACCAATTAATACGTTTGATTTCAGATCTACAACTTACTGCTTTGTAAACTTCGCCGAGGTAAAATGAAACCATTTGGTTACTTGAACTGATCTACATTACATAGGCTTTTCATATTGACATTTGGAATAGCTAACGTGTCAGAAATAGAAGTACTGAAACAATACATCTTCCATGACTTGAGTTGGCATAATGCTCAGTATAATTGTAGAAATTTTTAGAGTCTATAAAATATAAATTTGATATTTTTAGTTCAAATATTATTGTAACAAATAAGAGGTAGATATTAAGGGTGGAGCCTTTTCTATTCTAATTAAATATAACCAGTGCTTGTTTATGTTAGAATTATAAAAGCTTAGTCTTACAACATCATTAATTTTTCTAACACTAATATGGATTAGTATAACTTTACATATATATAGGTAGATTGTTCTTAATTGATTATTATAATGTCTGTGTACTTAATTCTTTTCGAAGGGTGAGACTTTATTTTAAGTTTCTTTTTAAATGAAATTCAGTAAATACTGTATATTCTAGCAGATTTTGTGGTTATGAAAAATATGAAGTTTGAGGCAATTTGTAAAAAATTTAACTTCAGATTGGGTAAAGATACACTTAAAATAAAGCATTCCCTTTTTGTAAGTCAGATCCATTTTCAGCATATGAGTGTTAATAAAAGAACACTTTTAAAAGAGTATGTAAATTCTAAATTACTATTAAGTATATTCTAGATTTAAGATACTAATGCAGTGTGTCGATTATAATTATAGCTTTTTGAAAGTTCTAAGAGCTTAAAATTAAACTGTAGTGATTCCTGTACTAATATATTTATGTCTTGTTTCTCTACAGCAAGGAGTAAATAATGCAGAGAAATTTGACTATGTAAGTGGAATAAAGAATTTCATTCTTTATATACCATACATATTTCTTTTATATATGTATTCTTCATATATTTGTCTTGAGTACTAATGCTTCTCATTTTTGGTTTCTAGGTGATGCAGTTTTTGAATAAGATGGCTGGTAATGAATATGTTGGATTCAGTAATGCAACGTGAGTTTTATTTGTAGTTTTAGGCTTTTATAGTGAAATAAGCCATTGCAAATTAATGGAAGAAATATATTTTATTTTTAAATGGTCTTGTTACTTTATATATATATATATATATGTACATACACACATATATATGTACATATACTGTATTTAGAATTAATCTATTCTCTAACTTGTATGACTTCCACCAGTAAATGTTAATTATTTAAAATAGCATTAGAGAGATGAATGATTTCTAAATTGCCTAAAGGGAATTTTTTTTTTAATTTTATTTTTTATTATTTTTGTGTGTGTGTGCGTGTACCATCAGATTGGATCTGACTGGTACAGGAAGATTGTCCCTCCTTCTCCAGTAGAACATCTGGTGTATTCGAATAGTGCGCCTCTGAGATTCTAAATTTTTACCTTAACTTTTAACTTGGAATTTACAAATTCATAGAAGACTTGAAGAATGAACAAAGAATGTCTTTATGACCTTCACTCACACTGCTTTAATTCACCAGCTGCTCTGCAGTAGACAGATGTAGCATTATGCTTCCTTAAAAATTATAACCTTGGACTCTATGTGGAACAATTCTTTTCTGTCCTATAAAGTCATTATATGTTGGAATTAACTCAGTGTCAAAAGATTAGATCTTTTTGGGTTTTTTGTGGTTCAATTTTGTGTTCCAGATTCAACAATATTTGTCAGTTTTCAATGATGTTCTGTCTTCTATGCATTGATAATTTTGTCCATGTCAGTTGACATTTACCACTTCTGTTGTTTCTCCCGAGGAATTTGTATGTATTATAGGGGTCTTGGAGGTCCAGTTCAGGTGTACCTCTCTCAGTGAAATGTCTGTATATTTACTCAGTGGGAATTGATTGTTTATTGTATTTTTTAGGAGAACCAAGATAATAATTTAAAAATTTGTGAGTGTATTTTATAAATATGAAGTTTGATAATTTTTAAATTAGTTTCTTTGATTCAGAAACCATGGAAACTAGAAAGGATCTGCATTTTTTTCTGTCCTTAGTCCAATTAAGAATAATTAAGGCTAAAAGAATTGTGTCAGTGACTGACCTAAGCAGCATAACTAGCCTGTTAGTGGCACGGATATTGGACCCAGGACCCTTGATCGATTTCGTATTCTTTATAGTGTTCCTTCCCAAACAAATTAAGCTAGACAGGAATTGTTGAATAATCACATTTTTGGAAGTCAATAAATGGAATAATTTTTTCTCTCCTAGGTTTCAGTCTGAAAGAGAAAGTGGAGATCGGAATTTTGCAATAGGATACTACTTAAAAGAAAAAAAGGTTTTAAAATTTTTGTTTTTATTTCAAATTCTGTTCATAAGTAAAAATCTATATATAAAATACATATCTAGTTAGCAACTTTGTCACTATTTAAGGTACATAAGTTTTTACAAAACAACCTAGAGTTAATGCTATGAAATTGTTAATTATTGTTAAATTTACTCTGATTAGCCATTCAAATATTGACTAATTTTATTAATGTAAATCTACTTGAAATTTAGCCCATTTTCCCCCCAAAAGTATACAAGTATAATGCTTGTCTGTTGTTGACTACTTCATTTTTTAATTGGCTAGGAATGTATATCCTTCATTAAATGAGAATTTATATAACATGCATAACTAACTCCCTTACTGTTTCAAAATTACACCCTTGTATAGGTTACATGCTGCTTGAGTAGCAATTAAAATGAACAATGTGCATTTTTAATTTAGTCTTCACTTTTCTCTTTAGTTATTTGCATGTATTTTCTTTATATTCCCATTTAGTGATTTTGGTTCCATGTAGAAAACATGATTCCGATTATGTTTATTTATTTTGCCATTCCCTCTTTGCAGTGTTTTCCAGAAGGCACAGATATGGTTGGCATACTAGACTTCTATTTCCAGGTAATTTATCTCAACTAGATTAACTGTGTATTTAAATGGATATACTGCATTTTACAGAAATAATGACTCAAAGTGAAAATACATTCTCAGTGCCTTAAAATTAAAAAAAAAAGCTCTCATAATAAACACCCTAATGTCCATGTCTTCTAAATAGCCATACCCCAGAATATAAGAAGAAAATATTTTTTAAGCATTATAGTTAAGAAATTTCAAAAACAATCCCAGAAAGTACTTGTCACTAAACTTTTTCTAAAGAGGTGGCGATGTAGTGGGTTCAGTACTGAGCTGTATTTCAAATCCAGTATGTGAAACCTATACTTGGACCCAGAAGCAGTCATCAGAACAGAGGAAAGAAATACTACATTGTTCAAAATCAGGAAAGGAGTTTGTCAAGTATGTATCTTGTCTCCATACATTTTCAGTCTATATGCACAGCAAATCATTGCAGAGGCTAGACTATGAGGAGGAGTGTGGCATCAGGATTTTAAGAAGACTCATCAGCAGCTTGCATTATGTAGATGGCACAACCTTGCGTGCTGAACCTCAGGAGGACCTGACACATTTGCTGCAGAAGGTCAAGGACTGTAGACTTCAATATGGATTGAAGCTCGACATCAAGAAAACAGTGATTCTCACCACTGAGCCAATTGGCAACACCATAATAGATGGAAAAGAGATTGAGGTTGTTAGCAATTTCAGCTTGTTCAGATCCATAGTCAACACTCTTGGCACCAGAAGTCAGGAAATCAAAAGGAAATCATTAGGAAAAATCCTGCTTTCAGGGTCCTTTCCAGAGTACTGAAGAGCAGTGATGTCACTCTGGAGAATAAAGTGTATCTGATTCAGGCCATATGCATCAGGGATAGTGGTTAAGAATGACAGAAGAAGAATCGATGCCTTTGAGTTTGTGGTTCTGGAGAAGAGTATTTAACATACCATGGACTGCCAAGTGAACCAACAAACATCTGTCCTGGAGAGAGTGAAACTGGGTTGTTCCTTGGAGGCAAGGATTTTGAGATTCATCTGACATACTTTGGACATGTTGCCAGGAGGGACCAGTTCTTAGAGAATGACATCATGGTTGGAAGGATGGAAGAACAGTGTAGGCGAGGAAGCCCTTGGATGACATGAATTGACACAGTTACTGGGGTAATGGTTTTGGATGTGTTGGAAACAGTGAGATTGGCTAAGATTAATTGGCGGGGTTCAGAGTTTTTGTGCTGTGAGTCACAGGCAACTCAGTGGTCTATAACAACAAGAAGCTCCTCTGTAGAGAAAGATTTATAGCTTTAGATACCTGATAGTCATTATGAGGTAGAATCAACTTGAAGTAAACTTTGGTTTTATTTTATGTTGTTATTTTAAGTTTTGCTTTTCTGGGGTTAATATTTTCTTTGGTAGAAGTTGTTTTTTATCAAAGGGCTCATATTTAGGCTCATAAACAGACAATTTCTTAGCTTTCTTTGGTAGCTGTTACTAATTGTTAATATTATATCCTGACTTAACTAGAGGGGAAATGGTTCTTTTTCTGCAGTCATATAGTAGAGGTTGAGTTAGCTGTCGTATTTGGGGGGGAGGGCGCTCACATAGTAATCTGCTATGGTGTTGAAGTTAATTTAGAATAGCCTTCCTGAACACTTTCCTATCGTGATTTATCAGTGAGTTCATTTTTATAGAATGTTCACCATTGCTGTCACTCTGCTGATAAGTCTGTATTGTAGTAGGCCATTTTAATGCAACTTCTATTTAACCTTTTATTTATATTTGTCTGTCTCTGTTTTTGAAGGTGCTTTAATTGGAGCCCTTCCATAATCTTACATAAGGTAAAAGGTAGATTGCAGTGAAATATATTTTGAGAGAAATCAGGTCAGATTTTCTTACTAGTCCCAATTAGTCAAGAACTCAAATAAGATACATATGTCTAGCTTTTCCTATAGTACTTTTCCTCCAAATTCTTTTAAATACTAAAATTGGGAGTAAACTAGTATATATAAATTTACTCGTTGTCAAAACTACTTACATTAATTTGAAAAACCGTGAATTGGATTTCAAAGACTATCAGTCTGAAATTCTATATCTTTCCTGGGCTTGCATGAATTATTTGACTAATATCAGTTCCTGAACCATTAGTTTCATCCTAACCTTCTGGATTTTGTAAAAGATAACAAGAGAAGAGAGATGTGAAAGTACTTTGAAAACTAGAAAGTGTCAGTGTTACTTAAGGCTTTGAACTCATTCAAAATAATTCCGTAATTATGCTATATGTAAGTAGGATTGATTGACCCAGTGGCTGTAGCAGTGGGCTTCACCAGAGCAGTGATTGATTGTGAGAGTAGTGAAAGACTGGGAAGTTTTGTTGTGTTATACACAGGGTGGCAAAGAGTCCACTATATCTAAGGACAATAAATCAAGAAATAGTTTTTTATTTTTTAAAAATAATTTGTGTGTGTGGTTAGATTAGCCATTGAACAAATCAGGATAACCATCAGAGGGATCAGAATTTTAACCATTTGAAATCTTTGGGATATCTTCAAATTATATTTAAAAATTCTATTAGAATAAAGATATTTCCTTAGCAAATAAAGTATATAGTTTTAGTAGTCAATTCTAAAGGCATCTAGCATTTGAATCTAGAATCCTGAATTTTTAAAATTTCCCTTTTTTTATATTTTAGCTCTGCTCCATTGAGGTGACTTGTGAATCAGCTAGTGTGATGGCTGCAACATTAGCTAATGGTGGTTTCTGCCCAATTACTGGTGAAAGAGTATTGAGTCCCGAAGCAGTTCGAAATACACTGAGTTTGATGCATTCCTGTGGCATGTATGATTTCTCAGGGCAGTTTGCTTTCCATGTAAGTAATTGTATAATCTTCATTTTCTCTGTCCAGAAACTAGTTTGAACTAGTTCTTTTAAAAATACAATATGACCTTTGCTAAGGCTCTACGTTAATTTTTGAGAGTAATCTTGTTTTTAGGGTTAATTTTTTACAAGATTGTTAGGAAATAGAGTTATGTGTTCTCTCAGAGGTTCTTAAAGAACTTTCAGTTTAATTGCTAGAACATCATTTCCACTAAGAAATTTGGTGTAAAATGTTGGTATAGACTTTGTGTTTGATTTGATGTTTAGCTTTGAGGAGATTCCTTACCTGAAGAAATCCTGACATTCAGGAAGAGTCTGTAGATGTTTTAAAGGACTTCGTTAAAACAAAACTTTACAAAAAATATGCCACTTATTTATCAAATCTATAACCATTGTTTTGTCCCATTTTTCCTGTAAGTTGGTAAATCCAGTTCAGGTCGATGTTTTCGTTTGTGCAGGATTATAGTATATGTATACTTCTGTCAGAAGATCCTGAATCTTAGTAATCATTTACTGAGCACCACTCTGGTGACATTATGTCTTTTTGTAATTGTTGAATAATGTAGCATAAATGTAGAATTTTTGAAGAGAGTTTATTTGCTCTACTATTTTGTTATCAGTCATTTCTTTGGTGTACTATATTACAGATAATCTTTTGTCTAGACTGAATTTCTCATTGCTTTCCAGTTATAAAATATTTTGTTGAAAATAAATAATATAGTTAAAAGCAGTGATTGTTTATTTTAGAACTTGGAGAATATAGTCAAGAAGCATAAAGTGAAGACACTGATAACTGATAGTTTAGGTATAATCTACTTTTATTCCCTGGAGTGATCTTTAAAAATATTTTTCTGTATCTTATATATATTCCAGGCTGGTTTATAACTGTATTCTTAATTTACTGTATTATCAATACATACCTCTCTCTAAATTAATTCTACTATTTGAGTATAGTATAATTTATTAACTAATTCCCTCTATTAACTAATTCCCCCTATTGTTAGGTATAACTTTTAGTTTTAAAATGTTGATATGACTATTCTTCTTTTCAAATTCTTTTCAGGTTGGTCTTCCTGCAAAATCTGGAGTTGCTGGGGGCATTCTTTTAGTTGTCCCCAATGTCATGGGCATGATGTGCTGGTCCCCTCCTCTTGACAAGATGGGCAACAGTGTTAAGGGAATTCATTTCTGTCATGTAAGCACGTTTTCTTAATGAGAATAATTATTAGTCTGTTGATTCTGTTTTCTACCCATTTCCATGGTTGGTTGATTCTTGACACTGCTTCTCTAGTAGTTGCAGGCTCGCAGGAGCTTCTGGTGGCTCTAGAAACTGACATTTGTTAGGGGTTTTTTTTTTGTTAGGTATCGTAATTTTTTAGTCTGTAATTAGTTTTCCATTTTCAAAAGGTTCGTAAATATTGTAAGCTCAGAGAAATAATTTATAATCCAACATAGCTCAGAAATTATTGTGTAAACTTTAACATGCATGGTTGAATTTTTTTTTATTTGAAAAATACCTTTTTATATATGTATAAATTTGGAGGAAGTGGGCACCATTTACTTGGATTTCTGGAATTTATAAGTTTTCATTACAGATCTGGGAGGGATCTATTCGGAAGACACCGGATCTTTTTACAGTTGTTGCTACCTTGAACTCATTGCCATTGAGTTGGAACAGACTCATAGCTGAGCCTCCAGCAGGTTTCCTGAGTCTGTAAATACCATGGGAGAGATGGCCTGTCTTTCTCCCATGAACCTGCTTTATAGTTATTTGATAGATGTATTTTGATGGGAGAATTCTTTCATTTGGCCTGTAATAGAATAATGCTGTTGTATGGAAGTTGAACAGTTTGAGTGGTTGTGGTGTAGGGTGAGCAGTGGTCTAAGTATTTGTATGCATACCTTAATCTGACTTCCACTTCCTCAGGGCATTATTCTGCTTTACTAATTTGCAGTGATGATTTTCATTAGACAGTTAAGATGGACAGTAGTAGCAAGATTTGTTAGCCAATTACTCATAACTGTTCTGTTTAACTATTTACAGGATCTTGTTTCTTTGTGCAATTTCCATAATTATGACAATTTGAGGCACTTTGCAAAAAAACTTGATCCTCGAAGAGAAGGTGGTGATCAAAGGGTAAGCAAAATTCTTATGTAGAATGTTACAGAATACAGCAGATTGTTGACAACTTCATCCTTGACCAATAATTCTTACATACTAGGTTTTGCTGCTGTTTTATTTAAAGCAAAGGTGATTAACCTAGCAGCAGTGACTTTCTTTCTCCTGTTTGCTGCTAATTTAAGCAGTATTTTTAGAATTGATTCTGTGTCACAGTGTACTGTGTACTAAAGCTATAAATGCAGATAAAAAGAAATGCTTGTTTTTACTTATATTTGTCTGTTAGTGCTCAAGTTTGACTACTCCTGACCATTTGTGTAGCTGGATATGCACATCGAGAAAAGGATGATAGCCTTAGTGGGAGACTATATGAGGCCTCAAAATAAATTTTGAAGGCCACTGTAGATGAAATATTTTTGTGGAGAAAGTGTTTAGTGGAATATTCTGGTGCTCCTACTTTAAAATTATATTTGTTGTTAGAAAATTTAGCTTCATATTACTGTATATATAGCTCTGAAACATTTTTTAAAAAAGGAATACATATATATATTCCTTTTTTTATGTTTTAGAGCTGGGATTAAGAATGATGACATAACTTTCAGAGACAAGAGTTTTTGGACTGTGTAGTTCATTGGACCAAGGGACTTACTGAAAAGTTTTAATTCAGTTACTTTGTATCTCAAATAGAAAATGTTTATAGTAAAATCATCTAATTAAAATTGAAGCTACTTTGCAGCACTTGTAAGTAGAAGATTTTTTTAAATATATGCTAAGTAAATTCTGCTACCAGTTCCGATCTGATCTAAGTCACCTCTGGGTAATATGAGAATTATGCAACGTTCAGTGAAATAGAAACTACCATGAACGTCTACAGGACTAACATGGACCAGAATGTCAAATGGTGGTGGGTGAAAATGTTAATAGAATTAATAACATGGATTTAAAAATACCGTTTTGTATTTGGGACCTTTCTTCACTCAAGTGCACTAATAAATTATGTATGTTGCTTGAACAACTAGCATTCCTTTGGACCATTGGACTATGAAAGTCTCCAACAAGAACTTGCTTTAAAAGACACAGTGTGGAAAAAAGTGTCACCTGAGTCAAATGAGGACATCTCCACAACTATAGTTTATAGAATGGAAAATCTGGGAGAGAAAAGCTAAAGGAAAGAGTTCTAGTTTCAAAATGTTCTTCATAGAAGTTTTCAAACATCTTCAGCTTTTTTGCATACTATAAATATTTATTTTAGGTTTTTTTGTGTTTTCAACCTTGAGTGCTGGAGCCATTAAGCTTTTTTCCTTTTTATTTTTGTATAAAGATAATAGATTTAAAAGTGACTTTGTTGGCTTTTACAAGTATTTACAAATAAATAAGGCAAATTGCCTTATTGTGGAGGGGAACAAAAAAAGGAAAATTTTTCTTTTTTTTCTTGATGTAATTAACATTTTAGAGTCAGATAATCCCCTTTTAAAATAGTCAGAAAAGTGTGATTTCAGATTTAAAGCCTAATTTGTTTTTTTCTGTGTTAAAAACTGACATGCCTACAGGGACGAAGTAATTCTATGCTAAATATTAACTAAAGAAGGAAAAAGAATGAATCTCAAATTATTTTCCTTAAAATTATAGTAAATTACAAAATTATTTTAAATTAATATCATTTTTAGTGGTGTATTATCTTTTAACTTTTTAAACATTTATTTTTAAATTTATTAGATATCACTTGGCTATTTAACCCTATTAAATATGCCATCTTGCTCTTTTTACTTGGCAATTTATTTGTGCATATTGTCTATAAGAATGGTTATATACAGGAATACCTTCAGAGTATTCAAGCATTCCAGCCAAAGGATTTCAGATGTGAGCTAATGACATGTTTCATTGGTTAAAAAAAAAGTATAATGGTTATTTAGAAGGAAAGACAGTGTCTTCAAGTGAAATGATAACTTGATCAGTTTATTTTCTTTTTCAATTAATTTTTCCTAAGTTATATTTAAGCCTGAATGGCGATTCTTAGATATTTTTGCTTTCTATAATTATTTTTATCCTAATAATTTCATAAATGCTAGTTAATACTTTCCTGGTAACTTACATCTCAAGTTTTTTTCTAACTGAATTTTTTTAGAGTACTTAAGAATTCAGTCTAACAGTAGTAAATCTACTACTAAAATTATATCTATTAGATTTGAATCGTTGTTTCATTATAAAAATGCAATATTAAGAATCATAACTTGTATTTAATATAAATTAAGACTCTACACAACATGATTTAAAACATTCACAGTATTTAAGTCTACCTTGGCAAAGTGATTTTAAAATTCTGTAGAACTATTCACATCTCTAATTTTCTCCATGATTCTTTTACATTTTGTAGGTAATTTTAAAATTTTGAATTCTTTATCTAAGGAGTGGATACTAAAACAGCTTGCTAATTTCTTAAGCTCATGGCATATATTTAAGGCCATGGTTTGTGTAAAAAAAAAAGTATATAGTAGCACAAAAGATAGAAAAGCCTATTCATGTGATGTCTTCAGTTTAGGGACTATTGTCAGGACAGAAGTTCTCTCCCAGAGGTGCTCATAAAAACCTTTTGGGATAATTTATGTATTACATTTATATTTAAATAATTAGGTATTGAGTTTTAGATGATTTTTACCAAGAATTTTGTAGTTATGTAAATGTTCTAATGTATAGATGCATATGAACACCAGCTAGACGATCTGGTTGGATAATTAACAGTATAATGACGTTTCATCATGATTTTGTCACTCCTGTAACTTGGAGTGCCATGTTTGTATTCCACCAGGGCAGTTTGTGGTTTGGACAAGTGAATGCCTGAATAGATTGGAAAAGGTGGCTTTAATTTTCCCCCCTGTGCTCTAAATTTTAACATTTTGTTATTTTAGGTTGGCTTCACTTTGTAAAAGGAAGATTTAGTCAATGACTGTTACAAAGACACTAAAGCATATTGTCTTAACATTACCCTTCATATTCATAGAATACTTCATATTGTGTGCTTATATGCTTAGATTTCAAAATTAGGTTTTTGATGTGTAGTACTTTGAAACGTTTAAACACACACATAAAAAATGAAGTAGAGTCATCCAACCTAACATGTTTATAGAATGTTAGAATGACCATCGTGAATTTTAACAAATGGACTTCTTTCTCTCCCCTCCCCAACCCCCACCATCCCTTTGGAGAAAGGTATTAATGGAGAAGGGAGACGTTGTGAATACGCTTCTAAACATTAAGACAAAAGGAAGAAAAACTTTGCCAGATTTAAGGATATTATTTTGAGTCCTTCCTTAGTTTTAGTACCTTTTCAAAGAAATTTCCTGAAAAGAAGAACTCAGTATTGTTGGGTTTATTCTCTTTATGCCATTACTGATTCTTGATATTCAAGCATTTAGAAGTTAGCATATTTTTCTCATTTTTTGGCATCATTAACATTTCATTTGAAATGCAAATTATTCCTGAAATGCTTTGTTTTCAGCATAAATGTTGTGCATTTTATCTCAGTGTTTGGATTAAAACATTTGTGTTTAGCTTTCTTTCATTTGCTTTGTATATTTAATAATGTACCTTTTATTTTCAGTCTGCCTATTTTTTGTATTGTACAATAAATTTATTTTAAGCTGATTTTATTGGCTTTTTTTGGTTTTGTTTTGATAAAAGAAACTCCACATTTAATTACAATAAATAATTGGGATTTTAACTTAGGAAAGAATTATGCTTCATAAACATACACTAAAATAGTAATTCTGAGCCTGTGTTGAACAGAAGCTACGAATACTCAAAAATGTTACTTGATTCATAGCATTTTTAAAATGCAAAATAGTGTGAACAGGCTCTTGGGGGAGGAGGACCTTTTTCTATTGGATGTACTAGATGCATTTCAATAAAGACTGTTCTCCAGTTTTTTGTTGTTTTTCCATTTGATAAGTTTTTATTTTTGCTGATACCTTTCTGTTTCTAACAGGTTATAAATTGTTATTTTCAATACAAAGTAATATCTAAATCTTAAAGCGATTTAATTTATATAAGGAACTTTTGATGTAAGCCACTGAGGAGTTTATTTTATACTTAAAATAACATGCTTAAAATTGACCTTAAACCTTTCAAGGTTAATGTTCTTTTATTTACTTTGGATCTTGACTTTTCAGATTCAGAATTTAGCTAGAAAATAACTTAATTTTATCTGGTGCAAATTCTCTGCCTTCTCCCTCTTTTGCTTTAAAGAAAAGAAAACTTTACAGGTACCATTTAATTAGAGACATAAAATTCTTCTCTAGGTTCTACTCTGTTTTAGTACCATTCATTCTCTGTTAGCAAATAAATTTACAGATTTTTCCCCCTTTTTCCATTTGATGTTGTTGGTCTATTTTGTGTTTGGAGAAAGTTATTTGTTGCATACTTTTTATGATAAGGATAATTAATAGGGAATATGATTACAAGTTATATGGCAGTCTGCTTTAGAATAAAGGCACTAGCCACACACACAATCTACTATGCCCTGTAGAAAACAGCGAGTAGCCAGATGCCACAGTTACTAAATACTAGTAAAGTTAGAAGTGAAATTTGTAATTACAGAGTAGTTCTAAAAATAACATTACCCTGGAACCTTCTTTAAAAGAAAGTAAGTGTAGTAGAAATATGACTCTGAAAATAGATGTTGCACCACTAGCTTTTTAGAATCAGTTCTTTGTGGTTAAGTTAAATATGTAAGTAGAAACATACTAAATTGAAAAGCTTTTAAGGTTCTACACAAATGTTTTCTCTCCTTTAAAATAATTTTTTTTTCATACTAGCTTTATTAACACACCATCTGTAGAGCGTAGTGAGCTACATCCCTACTTTTGTTGTTTGTTTTTAGGTATCTAGTTTTAGGAATGGCCTCAGAATATGTCTCATAATTTTTCTGCCTGTAATGCATGCTGTCTTAAGTATCAATCTACACAGTTATGTGCTTTTAAATTGTTGACCTGTCAACTTTTTGAACTATTTTGTAACTAGAA